AAAAAAAAAAAAAAATGCCAGCCTTACCCTCCTAATAGGATTATGAGACTCTGATAAGAAGTATATAAATAAGTATTATGTAGGTATATAGTATTATGTAGGTATATATATAAGTATATATATATATACTTATATATATATATAGGTATATAAATATTATGTAGGTATAAGTATTATGTAGGTATATAAGTACATAAGTATATGAGTGATCTGAAAAGCCAAAAGTGTAATTTGAAAAGCCAAAGTGTTATATTACAAGAAGTTTCTTTTGTTGCTGTATTGGTGAAATCAGCTCTTCAAAGATTTACTTCCAAAAAAGTACTTGCAGTACATAATAATCCTGTTCACTTCTCCAGAGGTTTTTCCTGCCTCAAAATCTTGACGTTTACATGCAGTCCATATGTAGATTTGTACTTATGTTTGTGCTCAGAAAAAAAGACTAGAAGACTAGACACCAAGCTGGTAACAGTGGTTATCTTTCATAATCACAAGTAACTGTTTCCCTAAAGGAATAAATTTTCTAATTTTTCTGCTACACAGAGGTTACTTGTAACTTTTAAAAGAAAACTTTTTAGTATATTTGATTTTATCCTGACATTATTTTACAGTATGAGAACAGATTCATAAAAGAGTGACCCATTTAATGTCACAAAATAATTAACAGGTAGCATCACAAACATGTACTAGTCTCTTAAATCCTCTCTACTAGAGAAGTATTAAAGATCTTAAGAGATGTGGGTTTATGAACAAGTTAGAGGTTAAGAGAAAGGGAAAAATACTTCCAGGGAAGATGTCACTGGATTAGAAAATAGCTTTAGAATTCACCCATTTTAAACAAAAAATAAGAGTTATGTGTATACCAGAGCTGCCAGACAATTTTTCATTCATTAATGTAAAGAAGAAATGAATAAGCAATTAGCACTTACCTTTCCCAATATTTGTGATTTAGGTCCAAAAAGTCATCTAACTTTGCTATTTCCTTGAGGTACTGGGTTAATTTTAAAAGTTCTTTGTCTTTATCTCGATTTAGGTGTGCTTTCATAAAAGGTCTTATCTATTAGAAAACAAACGTTATCCAACACTTCACATTGTAGTAAGAAAACTAGTACAAATCTACACTATTCTATCTCTTAAATTAACAGTTAATGATATTAAAATATCACCAAGGCTGTCAATACTAAGAATTACTTTTACATTATCTCACTGACAGTCATGGTATGTTTATAGTAGAAGTTCTTCCACTTAATTTACCTTCTGTTATCTTTTCAGTCTGAACCTCACAACACCAGCTGTCTTATAGCACCTGAACTTTATGTGGCTTCTCTACTTTGCAACACTGCTTAGACTTTTCCCCCTTCTATCAATTCAGTTGCTTCTTACTAATTAAATAATCTCATTCACATCACTTCATTCATAAAAAGGTACACAATACATGCTTGATCTACAGGGGAGTGAGATAAATTTTAACACTGATGATTTTCACATCAGTATTTTCTATGAAATTTTTATATAGCTGAAGTATTACACATTTGTATAACCTATTTTCACTCACATTTTATCATAAGCATTTTTATCAGTAAAGTCTTCATTAAAATATTTTTAATTATGAGTTTTCCCATAAAAATCAGCCATATTGGGCTTCCCTGGTGGCGCAGTGGTTGGGAGTCTGCCTGCCGGTGCGGGGGACGCGGGTTTGTGCCCCGGTCTGGGAGGATCCCACATGCCGCGGAGCAGCTGGGCCCGTGAGCCATGGCCGCTGAGCCTGCGCGTCCGGAGCCTGAGCAAACAACCATGAATTAACCAGTTGTTTAAACAGGATAATGCATACATGGGGGTTAGTTTATACAATTCAATGTAGTTCTTTTTATGTTTGAACTTTTCCATTATAAAAAACATATATCTTTTAAAAATCACACATATGCCTGTAAGTACTGAATAAATCATTTTAGTAAAGCATTAATATATCCTTATTGTGATTGGGAGAAAATGCAAACCGGTCCCTTTTACATAGTGACATTTAAAAACAGATGACATTTAATCATTGTCACCTGTTGAGAACAATGAGCCCATAGGAGTCGTTACCATATCTATCAAGCGTAGAGGTTTTAAATATTTTTTTATTTACTTCTCTGTCATTGGAAAAACACACCACCAGCCTGAAACGCAAAGAAGAAAAATTTCCCATACATTCCAGGTTCTATTCACATCAGAACAGTTTAAGGCCAAGGACCTCCACAGCTGTTAGTCAGCTGAGCTCTGGCTGAAGGGCACCAATAAGAGCTGTCAGAGTCTGCACAGAAGCAAACTCTTGTAGGAGATCCCAATTCCAAACAGGCAGTGCGGGCAGTGGGCTTCACAGCAGCAGCAGTAACTGCAGGAGATCAAGAAAATTCTCTGCAGGGACCTGCTTAAGCCCTACAGCTAGGTGTAAATAGGCATGATATCAGAATGTAGTGAAATGAGTTTCAGCATAATCCTGGGCAATACTGTAATGTTTTAAAGTACTCCCTCATTTAAAAAGATTGTAAAGGCAACATATTGACTTCTAAACTATTAATATACAGTGTACCAAAGTGATTCCAAGTATAGAAGCTGGAAGGGATTAGACTGAAAGAGAAAGTACAGAGTCAGTGGCTGGTAAATAAGATTTTCAACCCAAGGCCCTGCTAAGTTACTTTTACTTTCTAAACATTTGGCCTTAAGCACTATTAAATAACAAAACTAAAATACCCCAAAGATTCTGGATCTAAAAGTTAAACTAGTTAAGTGGAAAAAATTCACCTAACTGACTTCAATTGTTTCAGTATAATCACTGTTCCATTCTTCAAGAATGATCTAAGTGATCACTAGAAGGGCAGGCAACATGTATTACCACCGCTGTCTCATATCAAAAAACATTTTTAGGAAATTAAGAATGTTTAGATTATCTGCATTCTCTTAAATCACCATTTCCTTATATAGATAATAAAAGTGAAGTTCAGAGTAACTACTGATTAATCCATGACCAAAATTCAAGTTCCTTTAGTTCAGTACTATATTCATAATTGACAAAGCCTCCTGTGTTATATATTTCAAACCTTATGATTAGCAAGCTTATATTAGAAGTTAACTACTTTAAAAATAAGCAGTCGGGCTTCCCTGGTGGCGCAGTGGTTGAGAGTCCGCCTGCCGATGCAGGGGACACGGGTTCGTGTCCCGGTCCGGGAAGATCCCACATGCCGTGGAGCAGCTGGGCCCGTGAGCCATGGCAGCTGAGCCTGCGCGTCTGGAGCCTGTGCTCCACAACGGGAGAGGCCACAACAGTGAGAGGCCCACATACCACAAAAAAAAAAAAAAAAAGCAGTCTTTAAGATCTCTGTGAAATCTCTGAGATTTCTACCAGAAACATTATGGAACTGTGATAATGAAACAGAATTTAGAATATTTCACAATTTCAAAAACACTTCTATGTCAATGTGGGCAGATCATTAATTACTACCTTCTTAAAAGAGGCTTTCAAAAGGGGACATGCGAGAGATTACCTGTAGAATGCTTAAAAATACCTCTCCTGAATTAGAATTTTTGGAGGCAGAAACTTACATATTTTTAGGAATTCCTTCAATGATTCTACTGAGTACTCTGCTAAAAAACAAACAAACAAACAACTTGCTCTAACTAGAAGTTTATATCATCATCTCTCTGCATCCAGAGATGAGGAGGGCCCAAATGTTGGCTGGGAAAATAATGTTTCTTCTAAAAACACACATGAAAGTAATAATTTTTTTTTTTAAGTTAAAGCTCTTCTCAAAAATCATTCCCTGTCTCACTTATATGTAGAATCTGAAAACAAAAACAAGAACAAAACACATACATAAAGCCAAGCTCATACATACAGAGAACAGAAAGAACATACTGGTGGTTGCCAGAGATGGGTGGGTGGGAGAAATGGGTAAAGGGAGTCAAAAGGTACATACCTCCAGTTATAAAATAAATAAGTCATGGGGATGTAAGGTATAGCACAGCAACTATAGTTAACAATACCATATTGCATATTTGAAAGTTGCTAAGAGAGCAGATCTTAAACGTTCTCATCAGAAGAAAAAATTCTGTAACTATGTATGGTGACAGGTGTTAGTTAACTAGACTTACTGTGGTGATCATTTCACAATATAAACAAATATCAAATCACAAATTATGTTGTATACCTGAAACTATATTATACCTCAGTTAAAAAAAATTTAATCATTCCTTAAATACCATGACTTTACCTCCTTTCCAGTACAGACACCATTAGTTTCATACAAAATTTGGCTTAGATCAATTGAATCTTTCCTCAAGACTGAAGAACATACCTTATACCTCGTAATATAAGGTAACTTATACCTCGTAAACTACACACAAGAAAAGCACTTCTCCTAAAGCCTCAAACAGAAATCATTTTTAAAGGACAGCATCATCACCAGGCTACCCCAAGTACTTTTCTTCCAAGTCAACAGCTTTTATATTTGTGGCAATTCACTACCTAGATTAATATTCAGTCCTTAAACTATCCTCATTGTACACTAAAGACAACATCAACAGTCTGTACAGAGAGCTTCAAAAATATACCTTCTTCAAGTTTTTCTCTCTTGTCTTTTAAAGTCATCAAGAATTCAGCTGGTAGGGACTTCCCTGGTGGCAGAGTGGTTAAGAATCTGCCTGCCAATGCAGGGGACACAGGTTCGAGCCCTGGTCCGGGAAGATCCCACATGCCGCGGAGCAGCTAGGCCCGTGTGCCACAACTACTGAGCCTGTGCTCTTGAGCCTGCGAGCCACAACTACTGAGCCCACGTGCCACAACTACTGACACCCACGCACCTAGAGCTCGCGTGCTGCAACGAGGAGCCACCGCGATGAGAAGCCCATGCACTTCAACAAAGAGTAGCCCCCACTCACTGCAAATAGAGAAAGCCCGCACTCAGCAACGAAGACCCAACGCAGCCAAAATAAATTAATTAATTAATTTAAAAAAAACATTAAAAAAAAGAATTCAGCTGGTGGAAAAGTTCAGGACTGAGATTAAAAGTATCTTAGTATCAGGACTTACACTTCAAATGGAGACTCCATTTGCATTGTACCATAATATAGAGCTATCTTTTCCATTTTCATATTGTATTTATACATAGGCAACCATAGGTACCAGAAATTTTAAGTTTCAAATTTCTCTCTTACCAATTTTACGCTGCTACCAGGGTTAAGTATCACTATGATGCCTATATAAGATTGCATGTGACTTAATGCTAAGATCATCACTGGCCTAGAAACCAAGTTACTTGGGTTCTAACTCAAATTCTATCATTAACCACTTACAATCATGATCTTGGGCAAGTCATGAACTTTCTGATCCTCAGATTGTTTCTATAAAAGATGACTGAGGTTCCTTCTAGCTCCAGCATTTCATAATTCTAAGCTCTCCACTTACACTATATGAATTTTCAAAACCCTTTTATTAGTTTCAGTTTAAAAAGGAGAAGTAGGGCTTCCCTGGTGGCGCAGTGGTTGAAGGTCCGCCTGCCGATGCAGGGAACGCAGGTTCGTGCCCCGGTCCGGGAAGATCCCACATGCCGCAGAGCGGCTGGGCCCATGAGCCATGGCCACTGGGCCTGCGCATCTGGAGCCTGTGCTCCGCAACAGGAGAGGCCACAACAGTGAGAGGCCCGCGTACCGCAAAAAAAAAAAAAAAGGAAAAATACCCTTATTGCCAGCTTTCCAGCTAACTAGAACATCAGAAATTCAAGATTTGTATCCCTAATAGAATGTCTGATGCTTTCACTTTTGATGCTAAAAGTCAATGTCAGTAAGCTCATGTTGTTCCACAGAGCTAACTGAAAATAAAACATCTGGATGGGGGCTTCCCTGGTGGTGCAGTGGTTAAGAATCTGCCTGCCAACGCAGGGTACACAGGTTCGAGCCCTGGTCTGGGAAGATCCTGCATGCCACGGAGCAACAAAGCCCATGCGCCACAACTACTAAGCCTGCGCTCTAGAGCCCACGAGCCACAACTATGGAGCCCACATGCCACAACTACTAAAGCCTGTGCACCTAGAGCTGGTGCTCCACAACAAGAGAAGCCGCCGCTTGCCACAACTAGAGAAAGCCCACATGCAGCAACAAACGCCCAACACAGCCAAAAATAAATAAATAAAATAAATTTATGTTAAAAAAAAATTAGAAAAACAAACCATCTGGATGAGTTGGTTAACTAAGGAGATACCAAGCAAAAAGAGAGAATGCTCAATTTTTTTTTTTTTTTTTTTT